CTCATCAGCCACCTCCAGACCTGGGGGCTGTTGACTCTCCTTCTGAAGGCTGACGGATGGCCCAGGCTCTGCCTCTGTCTGTCTCTCTCTCTCTCTCTCTCTCTGACAGCTCCATTTCCTCTTCCCGCTCAGAGCTCTCAGGTTTCCCTGATGCTGACCCTGACTCCCACGCCTCCCCCTCCTCTGATTTGGCTGCTGGAGGGGCCAGCGGCCGACAGGCCACAACAGGACCGCTTGACTTACAATGGTCGGTTTAGTGACCATTCAAAGTTGCAACAGGACTGGAAAAAGGGACCTACAGCCATTGTTCAACCTTACGACTATCTAAATATTATTGCTATTGCCGTGGGTTTGGTCCTGAATCATCTCTCATCCATTCTTCTCCGGTTTTTAGCTACCTACTCCAAGCCAAATGTGAATTTGGAACCCAGCAAGAACCTGAAGCCAGGTGACCTGGTCAAAGTGAGATGCCACAGCTTTTCAGGGTACCCCGAAGCTGTTGTGCTCTGGCAAGATGGCCACGGCAACAACATCACTGACAATATCACCACCTCCCAGATGGCCAACGAGCAGGGACTCTTTGACGTCCAGAGTATCCTGCAGGTGGTGCTTGAGCCTAACAGCACCTACAGTTGCCTGATCAAGAATCCTTTGCTTCAAGAGGTGACCCATGCTTCCATCTCCATCACAGGTTTGTGCCTTTTGGGGAGTGGGTGAAATCTCGGGTAGTCGGTGAGTAGGGGGGGGGTCTACATTGGCTCTTCTGGGATGGAGGTTGGACTTAGCTGGGACTGCTGACCTCTGTGGAGAAGACTCGATGCTGCTGCAACAGTCACCAAGTGGTTGTAAGTCGAGGTCTACTTGTACTTAATATCTCTGTAAAAATGTCAGCCAGGGATCACTGAGGTGGCTGGCTGCCTCTGTGAAAGGATTTTTTTTTCGGGCGGTGTTACCTTACCTGCGGAACGTCTGAATGCCAGTAGGCAATCAGGGGAGGGTCCTTTTTCGTCCCTTCCACGGCTTATTCGCTCACGCAGACATGATATTCTTCCGATTAAAATCGGAATTCCGATTTTTTGGGGAATCGCCCCCCCTTTCCCCCCTTCTTCTCCTCCTTCCCCTCCCCTCGGAGGCCCCGAGTCAGGAGTTGCTACCGCTGGTGCGGCTCCGCGTGGCTCCAGTCCCGCGTTGCCTCGGGAAGGGAAAGGCAAAAAGGAAGAGCCGCGGCAGCGCTTTGCAACGGCAGCAGCGGCTCCCGGTTTTGCCTTTCCCTTCCCGAGGCAACACAGGACTGGAGCCATGCGGAGCTGCGCCGGCGGTAGCAACTCCTGACAGCCCCAGCCGGATACCTGAGCGGAGCCCGGGCGGTGCGAGCGGAGACCGCTGAGCGGCAAGGAAAGAGAGCTGGGCAGCCACAGACCAGCCTCCGTGCAACACGCCACCGCCCGGCCCTGGCGAGGGAAAGCAGCGGGTGCTCCCCAGGCGGCGGCCTTGGCCCCACCACCAGGGAAACAGCTGCCTAGCTCCGGAGCTGATCCACACCTGACCGGCTGGAAAGGAAGGGTGTGTAGCGTTGGTGTTGTGTGTGCGATTTCTTGGCGCGCGGCAGGGGGTCTCTTTTGGCTGGCCCCGATTTTTTTTTCAGAGGGGAATATCATGCCTGTCACGGGAATCGAACCGTGCACCTCCGTGATGGGCGGGCCCAACATCTTACCCAGGGGATGGCTTCAAAAATATTAGCAAAGAGTTCTCTGCCTGGTTGCTGAATGGGCATGGACATGGTGGGTGTGGCTTAGTCAGCCTCCTGCACCGTGGCAGGGGGGCATTTTGCCCTCCCCGTGCTCCGGAGGCTCTCTGGAAGACGGAAATGGGACGATTTATGGCCTTCCCGAACTTCCGGGAGGCCCGTTTTTCGCCCTCCCTGACCCTCCGCGCATGCCCTACACTTACCTGCATCCAAAACGGGCCGTGGGGGAGTGACTTCTGGGAGGGGCAGGGTGGGGTGGGGTGGGCGGGGCCAGCCAGGAGTGGGATTTGGGGCTTCTCTGAACGGCACAGAATCTGGTCTTACCACGTGAGCCACTGCGGCCGCTCTGTAAAATTAAAAAGGCTTAATGTCTTTAGCTTTGGACAGAAGTTATTTTTTACAAATGGAGTTTGTACATTTTTACAAATGGAGGCCAATATACGTGTCCCAGGACAATGTTGCAGGATCCAATCTGGGTCAGCAAATTGTAGGATTGCAGCAGTGGTGGTATTGGACTGGTTTGGCCCGGTTCTGGCGAGCCGGAAGTGGTGATGAGCAGCGGAGACCAAACTGGTTCTCTCCACTGCTCTGCTGTTGGGCTCACCTGCCCGCCTGGGCTCCCATATTCACTTTTATCTGCTGAATTTGAAATGCAGCTGCTTTCAGGGGTGGGATTCAAATTTTTTAACAACCGGTTCTGTGGGCGTGGCTAAGTTGGTGGGTGTGGCTTGGTGGTCATGTGACTGGCTGGGCGTGGCCAGCTCAACATCACTCACATCGAGGCACGGATCTCCTTGCCTGGCCTCTCATGACTGTGGGATGCTGCAACAGTCGTAAGTGTGAAAAACGGTCATAAGTCACTTTTTTCAGTGCCATTGTAACTTTGAATGGTCACTCCACACAAGCAAAGTACCAGCAAAGGAGGGGGAAAAAAACTCCAGAGAGGTTCCTGAGACAGGAAGTCTAGTCCTGCCAAGAATGTAATAATGGTTAACAGAGAGGCAGTTCTGTAAGCAACACCAGAATGTTTCCTTCCTGCCTTCCTTACAGGATTAGGTCAGTAATTTCTTCTAACAACCGGTTCTCCGAACTGCTTAGAATGTTAACAACCAGTTCTAGCGAATAGGTGCGAACCAGTAGAATCACACCCCTGGCTGCTTTGCGCGGCACAGAAGAGTGCTGCGTGGCAGCTGCTGAAGTGACCTGGATTGTGCAGGCTTGCAGGAGGCAAGTTAGAATGCCTTTGTAGCTGCACAAATGCCTCTGCGCCTGCGCAAAGTGCGCATTTGGTGCATGGGCACACACACAAAGTATCTGCATGCGTGCAAAGCACGCCCGCCAAGCCACGCCCACCAAACCGGTGGCAACACTATTTGAATCCCACCACTGGATTACAGCCTTCAAAAGGATCGGCTTTCGGGGACGCCTGACCTTTTCCCTCCGAGCGCTCTGACAGCGCTTGCCTTGCCAAGTTATCTTTGCTGGCTTTCCAGGTGTCTTCGAGTCATTCCAGTTTTTTTATAGACTCCCCCAAGCTAACCTTTTTCATTTGATGGTAACATTAAGTAGGGTTTAATTGTCCTTGGCACGGCAATTGCTGCTTTGTGAGAGAAGATCCCTTTGGGAGCATAAACGTTTTGGTTAAACACACAATGCCACTCGACGGAGCCCAGTAGGGTTGGACACCAGCTGCAAGCGTCTTCTTGAGGGCAGCAAAGGAAACGCAAATCGAACCGATGTCTTTTCTTGTAACCCAGAGGTCCCCAACCCCTCATAGCCGTGATCCAATACTGGCCCGTGGCCCATTGGGAATTGGGCTCTGTAAGTGACAGGTGTTCTGACCCAGCTCCCAAACATGACAAACCCTCTGAAGTGAACCCAAAGATTCCTTTATTAGGAGCGCCGACATTAGGAGCGCCGACATTAGGAGATTCCTTTATTAGTCCCGGCAAACAGTTTCTCTCTCACTGCAGGCTAACAAGTCCATCCAGCAGAGTCTGTCACATCTATTCATCTCTGCCCCCTGCCTTTTATCCTGAGAGCTAAAGTGGGGCTTTGCTGGCAGCGGTGGCTCTTCCATCCCAAGGACCTGCCCATAGATTTCCACT